CAGCCATTGACCATCTAAAAGATATTGTTAGTCAGGTCCAGAGGTCGGCTAGTCCTACAGTGCAACTAACACAACCTACTTCCACGGTAAAAATTGCGAACACATCCGTTCCCGTAGCTTCCAGTTCAAAATTTGTTAGATCTAATGTGACCGTTGTACAGCCTTTTATGGTCTCTGAGGCTAATAAAAATACTGTGCAGCCCGGTGCCACTTCTCTGACTAATTTCCAAAGGTTGCAACAACCCATCTTAACTTTAATTTCAAAAGAGGCAAGTGCGCAGCCTTCAATAGCCCCTTTTCCTAATGCAACAAATAGCCAGCCTGCTGTGTCCTCTGTGACAAACGTAGCGTCCGTGCCCCAAAGAGTATTTATTGTGCCACCTGTGTCATGTCAGAAAAGTGGACCAGGCATTGTCACTACAGTGTTGCCAGCCATTGTGACCACGGCTGCATCTCCAGCTGCACAGACCATAACATCTAGTGATGTTGCTGTTGAAAAAAATACCGCGCCAGCTGTTTTAAATCTGCTGTCTGCCAATAATTCCCAAACAAAATATTCTTTTGGGCAACAATTCCAGAGTAGCAACGGACAGTCGTTCGTCCTGGTGACTAGACCCACCAGTTCTTGTGTGCAGCAAAGTCAGCGTACAAATACGTGTGTTGAAGCACCAGATGAACTGGATCAGACATCAGCTTCGAACGCTCCAGACACTTGTCAAGGCGCCCTGGAATCGTCAAAGCCTTTGTTTCAAATTCAGGATGTTTACACGTTGAATTCTAGCAATATAAGTTCGGAACACGTGGCAAAGAAAACGGAACGGTGCAGCAAAGACGTTGCGAATAAAGGAACAGAAAGTGTTTCAGAACTAAACAGTGAACCGGAAACTTATCCCGGAAGCCTGGATGAGTCAGAAGAAACCAACTCAGCTGATACAGAGTCTGACTATAGCGAAGATGCTTTCAAGGAAAAGTATAACGAAGATTTAAAGAGAGATGGTGACCAAGTTCAGACAACGGGAAAACTTCAGGTATTGCAAACTTCACAAGAAGATGACACGTGTAGTTTGAATTTGGACTGTGAAGACGTCTATGACGAAGATACGGAGGATGGCGATCTTGAAAACGAAGATGATGCATTGGGTAAAGCAAATATGTTAACGACGATAGAAAATGAATCAAGCGAAATGCAATCTCTGTCCAAGTCTGATGCGAGTGTTAGTGGCACTTTTGAAAGAAATTCTCGTAATGTCATAGAAAATATTTATCTTGAAAACAACAATGAATTGAACGAAAATGAAAGTGAAATGGCTTCACTGTCAAAAGTTCATGGTTCAAATAATGAAGTAGCCGTAAAGTTTGACCGTATGAACAAAATGAAATCATGCAGTGTTAGCCTAAGAAGAGTCGTATTGCCAAAAAATCGATCTGCCTTTAGAACATGTGAAGTTGAACGCTTATCGGTATCCAAAGGTATTGGTGCGCCCGCAAATAAACACATGGCAGTACAACAATGTTCAAATAACTTGGGCTCTGGAAAGTCACAAGTTAAACTTCAGGAAAACAAACATGGTTCCGCTGAATCTAAGAAGCAGACTGTATTTCAAAAGGTTCCAGTGACAACTGCCGCTTTGTCAAATGTTAAAATATTAACAGTGAATACCGACAAAACGACGGACACGGAAGCTAACCAAGCGTCACTTAAAGCAACTGGACCTACTCCAAAGGCTCCAGCTGGTAAAGAATGGGAAAGGTTTATTTTCTTCAAACTAAATGGGAAGGCTATATTGGTTCCAGTTAACAAAAAAACTGTTACCATGGCATCCAGTCCTGGCGCAAAGTCAATAATATGTCGCAATGGCAAATATTTTTTTCAAGGTAGCCCGGCGAGTGTGGGGAATCCTGAGAAATGCATAGTTCAAATCTCCAGTGTTGAGGCGTCCACGCACACAAAATATCCGGCGCCGACACTCCCTGTCGCTGCGGACCGTTTTGATTCGAAAGCAAACCAATGCACAGCGTTAGCCGGCACAAGTCACAGTGCACTAAATATTCCGTCCGCAGAGGAATCGAATTCGCTTGAAACCACCGGTCAAAATTTACCAACATCAAATTTTAAGGTCAAATGTGAACCCACTACATATGGCTATGGCGACGAGGTTGCTCCTTCTACTTCCACTATGAATACTGTTAACTACTCTACCGGCGAGCAAAACCAGCTCAGTGACATTGCCTTGAAACCAGTTAAAACTGAACCAGAAGATTTTTATTTGGTGCCTAACAAAATTCAGAAAGTAGAACACGGTAACGGGTCGGTAATACAGGAGTTTCAAAGTGAGCGAATCAGAAAACTGAAAGAAAAATTACGCCAGCAAAATGAGGCTTTGGAAGAGTTGCGAAGAAAATTGAAGTCCAAACCAAGTACGGCTTTTGAGGATGATGACAGCTGAATCCACCCCGAAAAAAAATTAAAAGCCTTGCTGGAAAAACGGCCGAATTTTGCTGTTAAGATGTGCTTTGCTTTCACATTGATTGGATTGTAAATTAACAGTAAATACGATTTTATACTTAAAAGAATGTAGTGTATTGTATAAATGTTTAATGTTCAGCGAATATACTTAACATGTCTTTGATAGAAACAAGAAAGGTCCTAAACGTTGTTTTCACAAATGTAACTAGCTTTTAGCTCCTTGGAAAAAGCGTCTTGTACGTATAAATACCTTCTTACTTAAATGGTTTCTCTCAGTTTTCAAGTGAACATGTTCCACACACGAAGACTTATTAGGAATAAATACTATATCAGCAATCGTAAATTGAAAGAAAATTGCCGTTTGTTGTTTTCACAGTGGCACAGACCTAATAACCTTACACGTTAAGCTTGTTGATTTGGCAGCATTTGTGGTGATTTATCTATGCCCGCATTCAGAACAGTGGACTAACTAGTCCACGGATCAAATATGGCGACCCACTAAAAAGCTTGCCGTCTAATCCGTTAATAGACACTGAATAGATTCCCCGTGGGGAAGTATTCAAGTGGGTCGGCCATATTTGACCCTCGGATTAGTTAGTCCACTGTTCTGAATGCAGCCTTTGTGTAACGATCTTTTTAGGCGTTTGGTAATTCAGTGGTAGAATATACTGCGTACGTTACACCAAAAACATAATGAAATCGGTGCTAATTGTTACAATAAATGTATGTAATTTTTAGATCTCGTTTGTTCTCTCTTAAAAGAAAAAACAAAACAAAAATAAGGCTTCTAATCTCAAAATACAGCATCAGCTTATACAAAAGTTTGCAGAGGTCCGCTTTACACATTCCTTACTTTTTCCAGAACAAGATGGCGGCAGCAGTCCCCGTCTCTTTCCATGTTACAAGAAAACGTACGCATCCATTCTTCACATAGGCTACCACTCCTGGGGGGTGGGGGAAGGGGGGCTCGCGTCTTTATAAAAGAGGAAAGGCAGACCTGTAACAAGCAACTAGGTTATTTATCTGCAAAAAAAGAAAAAAAAAGGACGTTTTTGCCACCATCATTGCCCTACTGGAGAAATGGCATTGCACCTGTAGATCAACTTTTCATATCGCAAACACACATTTCCCAGTTAGAAGTGCGGTTCTTTTGAAATCCACCTGCCTAAAGACCTGGAAGTATTATCAATCTTAAAAGTTGCAGATCAACTTAGAAGTCGTCATTTTTAACCTTTGACTATAAGGCATTCCCATTATAGCGATACCCTCTACCTGGATCACAGATTGATTTTTCTCGAGATATTCACAGATATGTCACTGGTAAAATTCACGGTTATTCTCTGTACTCAGCGATAATGTCCACATAATGATAACCGCGGCCCTGGTAGAGGGCAGTTTAGCGACAGGTGACACAAAGTTACATATCTTCTACACCGGAGGGCTTACCAAGAGCAAACGCCAACAAGCTCCTTATTTGATTCAGTCAGTTACTGTAATGGTAGGAACACGTCATCACACACATCTTTGATGGAACTATAAGCGAATGATTGAAGTTTGCATTGTTATAGGCCCTACTGTAGATCATCATTTATCAATTTTATGGCCGTACTTTGTCTCGGAGAAATCGCTTGTCGCTTAAAGGAATAACAACTTTTAATTTTGGCCAAAAAATGGATTTTCCTGGGAGAAAGGACAATTTTCCCGTAATTGCCAATGGTGAATGAATCCATTCCGACATTTAAAGTTAGTTCCCGTGTTTTTTTTTTGTTTTTTTTTTCTAAAGACAGATTTAGAGGGGGTCAGGGGGGACCTGACCCCCCCCCCCCCCCTTCGGTTTCTGAAAAATATATCACACCAATATTCCACTCTTGAAATTAGAACTTTGACTAGCTGTATCATAGTTCTAAACCGTACCAAAGACCACTGTTTGCCCTCCAAAACACCAAAAATTTTTGGGGCCCTTTGAGTAGACCCCGAACCCCACGACAAGGGGTGATGGTCGGTTTCGCATCTGAGGCTTGGCGTAATCCTGGATCCGCCCCTGAAAAAAGTTTGCTTTTTTGTAATATTCTCTTTTAAGAGAATATTACAAAAACAGATTATTATTAAAACAGATTATTACAGGGTGTTCCCATCTATGTGATGGCAAGCATAAATTCCAGAATCATTGCGTTAACTGCCGTTTTGGTGGTAAAATAGAATTTATTATTTTTCTATGGGTTGTTTATAATGTATTTATTATGAAACATGGATTTCATACGAACAGTTGTTATACCTTTAATAAATGACATTGAATGATATAATATCAGATTTACCACAACAGATGCTTTGTTCTAGCTATTAAAAGATAATCATAATTTGTGAAACGTCGCAACTTCATCTGGTACTTCGTGTAACACTGACGTCAGCAATATTACAATAAGGGCTGAAGTTGTAACCCGACGTACTTAATATAATTTTTTAACCAGCTGATACTTGATGAGCAAATAAATTCACACGGGTGTGAAGAAGCTGCAGCAGCTGTCACATGGGGCGTGGATGCTTTTTATAAGACGGAGAGCACACACGAATGCAGTACACTGTCCTGGCTTCGAAGGGACTCGAGGTTTCCTCTGAATTGCCATTATAAGCTGTCTCAAAATGATTACCATTGGTATTGTACTTTTTGGTTTATTCTACCAGACCCTCGCAGAGAAAGAGTTCGTTAAGGAAACCAAAGGCAAGTTAGACATTCTGAGTGCAGAAGCAGAACAATGTATATTTTGTTTCGATATAGTTTGAAGCAATGCCTTTCTGAACGAAGAAAATATTTCGAAATCTTAAAGCTACAATGCAGGATGAAGTGATTACAAAGGGCCTTTCAAATTATTTTCGTCAATCAGCTCGATTGGAAAATTACTCGTTGGTCTCATCATGTTTAAAACGAGACTTATTTACAAGACAGTCTGCGATCAACATTTTGACGACGGTCGAATTTTTGAAGTGTCGCCTGATTTTTTACTGACATCTCTGGAGTTTTATAACTCGTATTTTGTTAATATTTTCCAGCGGTCCGCTGCTTTGACTGTAACTACAGCCCTTCTGGTTTTTACCCCAGTGGATACGAGAGAGGGTACGAGAGGTGCGCTCTGTCTACCTATGGGGACGCAGACTTCATAGATAAGTGGGAATGCCGCTCTGGTCGATGTTTTATACGCCAAGACAAAAATGGACGTAAGTCTTTTACTGTAAACCACTACGTTTCCTTTTCTTTAATTTTTGTTTAAATCATTTATGATAATGTTCATATCCACGTCACTATGTCGAAAATTGTGAAAGTATATCTTTTGGCTGGCGTACATGTATAGTGGCCCTTCACGATTTTAGCTTTTAAGCTATTTCATTGCCATATGTTGCATTTTACTTAAGAAGTTTAATAAATACAAAAACATCACCTATGATGAATATGTGAGTTGGATAAACAACTGCTCTACAAGCTACTACTTGATGCATTTGTTTCGGTTTGATTTTCAATACCTTCGACTTGTACATATGCCGTGTTTCTTGATTTTCATAATACCATTCTGGGGAAGAAGTAGGTTTTAACGCGCTTGAAAACTCAAGTAACTGAACTCGCTTTAATTGGATTCATCACATGTATAACTCGTTTTAATTTGATTAATCCATTATATTAAACGGAAAAAAGTAGTGTTTAAAATTGGTTTCCAAAATATAACGATCAGTATGCATCAGGATTTAAATGCAACTTCTTCTATGCAAATTCCCTTCTAGTCGTATTTCGTGGTTGCGCCGATGAAGCTAACGTTCCGTATGGTGTAGACCCCACCAAAAGCTGCAGCACCCAAGGCCACGCCTACTGGTACTTTTGCTATGGCGACCTGTGTAATGATGGACAGCTGGGAAACAACGTGTACGATAAATACACCGGGCAGCTCACAAAGGACGTATGCGGCTACGAACCTGACCAGAAGGAACAGCCACCGTACAGTACGTTTCTGTCTTACTGTATCTGAAAAAATCCAGGTTTTCTAAATGTACCCGCTTTTTGCCCGTGTCTCGTGGGATGTGCTGGGTTCGCGACAGCTTATATACAACTTTAAAATTGGTGAACACATTTTGAAGTTATATTTAAAAGAAGCAAAATGCAGCAGTCCTCTTTGAACCAGTGACGATGTTTTATCCTGCAGCTGTTGCAAGTTATGCGACGCATGTTTTACGGTTTAGTAATTAAATTCAGATTAAAAAATAATATAGCCGCCTCCCTTTGGCCTACTAGCGTGTTTACTATAGCAACATCTGCACACTAAACTAGAATATGCACACACTTTGTTCTATATTCCAGACCCATGTGCTAAGAACAAGTGCCTGAAGAACCCCAGTGGTGTCTACGCAGACCCTGACAACAAGGAGGGGTTTATCCAGTGTGGGTGTGGTCGTGACGGCTACGGGAAACCCTGCACGTGCTGCGTGCCTCTACGGCTCAGGTGCCCGTACGGCACTGTGTTTGACGAGTACAACAAGGAATGCACCTCCCGATACAAGTATGAAGCGGAATATGAAAAGCAGAAACTCTTGAAAGAAGAATGAAATGTGACTTTGGATATTTCTTCAAGTTTATGATACACCTTTGTATAAAAAAAAGAATTCTTTTGAGTGAACTCGGATTGAAACTTTAAGAAAATTGGTAACTTAAGAACGCTGCTAAAGGTATTGCTGTATTCTTATATTGTTGGAGGCACTACCTCATTACGATTCCAGTATTCGATTACCATATCAAATCCAATTATAATGTAGACTCTGAGCAACGCCAGAGTAACGCAATGGCATTTTATATAAGACATCAACGGTCATTCATCATATCATTATTAAAGGTGACATGAATTCAATATAAGGTAGGACTTAGATTTATGGAATTTTCTGTGAAGATTTTAACAATAAATCTAAAAGTAATGTGGCGTACTATAATAATGATAATGAAAAGTAAATGAAGTTAGAATTTTTATCTTGTTTATTTTAATTGGTCTGTAGCTGTGAATTACAAGCGAGATCCCAAAAGTAACAGCCAATTCAGTGTATATACATGTCCTTGTGCAAAACAATCCGTCGCATACTATACAAATATACACTGACCTGTACTTAATCACAAATAAATAGAACTCTTTGAGAAAAGATATCACAGTTTGGCAGTGCAGCAGTAGTAGTTTCAGTTCTGCTGAAATGCACTTGTCTTGCAGTCAAATTACCAGAATACAACTAAATGAAGAACCCGTCAAAATATCTATATATCAAGTCACGCACACCTTTCAGATGTGGCGTACCTGGTTAAATTGATAACAGATGACAGATACTTGAGACTTGTAATTCAAATCTTGACAAATGCCAGCAGGAAAGAGTTGTCCGTTTGTAGTGTAAGTCTGAACTATTTCCTGATCATTGTCTTTCTGCAACCGATGACTTCTCTCCAAGATGAATGACTGATATCAAGTGGTGTTTAGTCATGAGGATAGAGGGCGCGTAGGTGCGGGCGTGGCAAATACTGGGCACCATCAAATCCCTCAAAATACTCGTCTATTCCAGGATGCAGGACCTGGGAGTAAGATTAAATAAAAACAGATTACTAAAACTTTAAAAAAACTGAAAGAACATTTGTCACATTAAACAATTTTGGTGACCTGATATACATCACAAATCTATCTCAAATTTTTTTAAAATTAAATATGAAAAACAACTACATTGAGCAATAATTAAATAAGTTCAACTGTTTTCCGATTATTTTCTGATGCAAGAGTGCTTACTTTGGTATTGGACAGTATTTCTATATTTTCTTGAGGCACATATGTGACTTGTGGCATCTCACGATCTCTCGTATCTACTAAGATTGCATAGTTTGGCATGTCTCTCCAATGCTGCTTAGAAAAAACAATTTAACATAAAGTAAACAATGATATCTGGAAAACTAGCACAATATTAATTAAGACTAGAAATGTTTGGGACGTGTGGATATGTTTGGGATGTGTGAGCATAATGTTGTCAACAAGATTACTCTAATATCTGCACAATTTGTCTTATCTCTTCACATACATATTCTCTCTCTCTCTCTCTCTCTCTCTCTCTCTCTGTGTGTGTGTGTGTGTGTGTGTGTGTGTGAGTGTTTGTTTTTTTTTTCTAATGAAAGATATTTTTATCATTCACCTTTTTATCTTTTGGGTGCATCTGCTGTAGCCAGGATTCTGGGGCCTAGAATTCCAACAATTCCAACACATTAAAATGCAATCAATAAATTTTCAAAAGTTTTCTGTTGTCTTCTAGAGCAAAATGCATCTCACTGCTTAAAAAATTCCCATGACAAGAGTTTAAAAAGAAATGATCATTTCTACATTTTCCAGGCAATATTTTGTAAAGTTAAAATACCTTAGCTTTAGGATCCCAGCCAACAATGACACCTCGATATCCATGTATTTTATGTCGTATAACTTGTCCAACTCTATATTTCACATTTTCTTGCCTTGAAACACGCGGATGAGGGGAACCTAAATCAAACATTACACTACTTAGCAAATTTGACAAATAGCCAGGCACCAAACAGCAAAAAACATTACAAATATTTTTTTTTAATCTGTATTTTTAAACAAGGCAGCAAAGCTGTCAAATGTACAGACAAAAAGCAGGAAATAACAAAATAGGCTACTGTNCGGCGACAGCGACGGCGACGGCGACATGATCGGCGACGACAGACGCAGGTGATGGCAATATGTACAGACACATCTGTGTCTGTACATAAAAATCTGATTTTTGAAAGGAACCCGCCTTTTTACAAAACAAAGCCATCCAGTAAACATGAAAGCAAAATGACAGTTTGGCACTCACAAACAGCAAGTATGTATAGTGCAGCAGTTACAGGCAGATGACAGATTGCAACAGAGACAGCAACAACACAGATAAACATGTCAATCAGAATATATACAGGCACACAAAATGTACATAAAAAACAAGACAAAACAAAAAACTGTCAATTCCTTTTGAATAAACAATTAATATACATCATATTCAAAAAGGTCTACAAATATGTAATGGTGTCACTTATCTAGGTTAGGCATATCAAAAACATTTGCTTGAAAACAACAATTCACAGTGCATGGGCACGGGGATTGTACATAATTCAACAATCTTCTGTCTTTTGACAAAGGGTGTTATGAAGAGCTTTTTACAATCATACTGAAAGGGAAAATGATAATGCCAAAGGCAAATCTAATCAATACTGCCATAATAATTCATACAAGCACATTGTTACTGCAGCTGTACCTGCGAAGTATCCATCAGGTTGATCATGTTTCATGACTTCCACTGCCGGCGACTCCCCATCTGGTGCATCTGACTCCCCATAGCTGGGTTTGGAATGAAGATGCACCTTAGATATCACATCAAAGCACCATTTTTGCCAAGATTTCCAAGTAAAATACTTTTCATGGAAAGTCACTGCACTGTTTAAGATGCTGAAATAATGAAATAGGTGACAACTCTCCAGTTTAAATCATGATAATATATAAATATTAATTACATTTAAAAATCATAAACAACATATGAACAGGTGGGGGGGGGGAGGCTTTGAACTGCCAGTCATTCATAACTATACCTAGAGGTTAGTAAAGTCAACACACACTGTGACAAATGCAAAAGAAGCCAGAGAACTTTGTTAATGTTGTTGATAGTGATTAAAGCCGTCCTCAGGGGCCTCCAATAAAACCAATTAAGAAATAAAAATTAATTGGAGTCTTTATTTCCACCTCTACTACTTCAAATCATTTTTTCTTTTTTTCTTTGGTTTTGTATTGTACATTAAACAGTGCGGCACTTGACCTCCTCCCCTCACCCTTATTAACTATACACACCATCATCATTTTGCCTTTAGAGCTTGTACATTACTTATAACACTTAGTGCCCTCTCCACCCCCATCCCATCCACACACACACACACACACACACACACACACACACACACACACACACACACACACACACACACACACACACACACACACACACTACGTACCTTCTGAGTGCCACATTCCTCTGCACCTGATTAGAAGTCATCCATTTTGTGATCAGATACTGTGCTGGTACTGCCAGTAGAATTAGGCCAAACTGGAAGGCTGCTCTTCTATCCAGGGGCATGATTCACCTGAGAAAAGTTCATAATAGTGCAATTTATTTACCCACCACTGGCACCAGGAAACAAATAACTGCTTGGAATCCTACACAATGGAGACTTCCCAGCCCACCTAATATAATTTGAGGGTTTGAATCCAGGCTGGAAACAATCCCTGAAGTACTTTTTGCACTTAAAAGTCTTTTAATGGCAGTCTTCAATAAATGTATGATTTCATGGCAGCATAACCAGTGATGAATCTTCCTTTATTCACAGCACTGCTGGTAGGAAAACTAGTTGGCTTTTCAGCAGTATGCAAATTGGAAGCTGAGTGGTAAGCATTGAGAGCTCCCAATGTGCAGCTGGGTTACTAGTTTGCTGTGATTTTCAAGCATAGCACATATAGGGCATGTCAGATACCATAGATAGAAGTGCTGATGCATGAAACTTTGTGGCATAATACCGAGGTATCTCTTGCCAAATTGTGCCTAATATGTGATCTGAAATTTGATTTAACTTTATCTTACCTGTTTTGACAACTGATGTACATACAACAAAGAATGTTTCAAACAAGACACTGTTACTTAGTAATTTACACATGTCACTTACATGTATGCTCACAACAGTATCTGATTATTATGATACATGTACTTTAACTTCAAACACATGTAAAGCCAGTAGTACACAGTCACAGAGTCAGATTGGTATCAGCACTTTTTAAATTTCAGTTTGGCATGTCCTAATTTTTTATGTTTGGGCGTGTATGAGAAACAAGGTCTTTGCACTTTGTTAGCACGTCATAATTTGTGTATGAAGATGTATCAAGGCAATATCGATTTGGGAACAAAAACCAGTTACCTTTATCTCATTTTGTCTTTTGGACCCTTTCTGTGCTCCATGTATTAACCGTTGGTTGGATAATATGACAAAGTAAGACCTCTTCTAAAGTTGCCTCAATGTGAAGAGTTTCTCTGACTGACATTTAATTTGGAAAGTATGGAGCAAATGAAGGCGTTGCAGTCACACTGAGCAAGAGATTGGAAAGGCCTTCGAAGCCGAGGGCTTAGTATTGTCTAGTATAACTTAGACACTTAACTTAGTGATTATTTTCAACTCTGATATATTTTTGTCTATATCGAAAATATTATGAGTTCTCCAACTCACCTTTATCAGACTGAAATATGCACAGTCTTGATTTCTCCTTCCATTAGGATATATCCGACGGTTAACACACAACAAATCAAAATAGTCCACGACTCCGTTCTCTGTTGTATCGCAAAGGAGTACTTCATTTGCTTTTGCGACAAGAAAATACTGCGTAAGTGTTTAAAAGGTTCGACATTACCTATATTCAAGACTAAAATAATTGAAACTGCCCAACTTGATTAATTATGTACCTTTTCACCAATTGTTATCAAAACTAAGATAGCATTTCAGTTTGAAGTGTCGTATTTGCGCCCTACTTCCTTCTTGTCGAAAAGAGTCAGCGAGGTGTTTAGCAGACGAACAATGGCCTGTTGTGGTTCAATCTGCGGACAACAAACCAGATGTCATTCTTATTCACGCCTTTAAAACACGAAAAGGACGGGTGTGAGAGTAATAGGCATTTGTTATTTGTGTTCCTTCCTCCTTCATTTTGTCTCACAAGTTGACGTCGTTGGCCATTATAGGTTGATAAGTGTTGAAAAATTTTGAAAAGGCAGTGATGTATTCGTTAATATTATTCTCTACCTGGGTATTTCTGCTCGGCATAGCTAACCTTTACTTGTTTCAAACTATACAGTTATTTGTGTACAAATGCACGTGCGTGCCAACGTCTCAGTCTAAAAAAACAAACTCGTAATTTGCTTTTAATAATAATAATAATTATTATTATTATTATTATTATTATTATTATTATTATTATTATTATTATTA